ATATGTAAATATTTTGAAAGACACTGCCAGTAACTGGTATTTTGTTTCGAGGTAAAAAAAATAAATAAATTACAGTTATTCTCTATACAAAAACAACTCTTGTGATTTTAGTCAGTAACATTGTATGTAAATTAACACCTACCTAAACAAACACACACACAATAATAGACCATACAAATATATATATATATATATATATATATATATATATATATATATATATATATATATATATATATATGTATATATATATATATATATATATATATATATATATATATATATATATATATATATATATACTAGCGTACCCGACCCCCGCGCGTTGCCGCGGGGATAGAAGAAAGTTTGACGAAATGTATTAGGATTTCACCACCGCGTTATCAATTATAATTATATGTTCTTAGACGCGTGACCTTCTTTTCTAAAAATGAGTCATTTAAATGTAAACAATGCCTGTTCTTGGATCATAAATATCAGGACACGGGTTTATCTACGCTACCGCATGAAAACCTTGAGTGTCATTAATCACTCACCGAAATAATATGGTGGAACACACTTCGGTGACCGCCTCTGTGTCAGAGACGTATAGGGGCGCTCTCAGGGCCCCCACCCCCCGATTACACTACCGCATAGGCGCGGCGTACGACCCCTGGCTCCTTAAAGCTAACAGGCGCCATCGGCCAAATAGCATCCTGTTAATAATGATGCAGATTTCGTCATTCGCTAAAGTGACACAAATGAACAGGATTTTTTTCTTTAACACGTAAAAAAATTATTTGACGTGTTTTAAATATCAGTGTGACTGATGCAATATGCTAGCGTTACTTATGGTCTATTATTAGATGCTGATCTCAATTTCTGACTCAATTGTCTAATAATAGATGCTTATTGCATCATTCGCAAAGTGACGAAACTCTACAGTAGGCTCCTCATACTCAAAAAGTTATTTTTTCATCTTTCGCAAGGTGACGAAACTGTACAGGATTTCCTCGCGTTACAAGGTTATTTTTAAGAAGCCTGTTGTAGTTTTATCGCTGAATATAGTAGTACCCCTTACTCGCTATGCAGGACGCTCGATTAACGGATGCCAAGTGCCAACATAGTCGCTTTAAAACTCTGGGCGCCAAACCGTGTATTGACGAAAATTGTACCCTACATGGCGCCGCCCATAAGAAACTTTAGTTTTCTTTTTCGCAGAAATATTCTGCCTGTTGTAGTTTTGCCGCTGAATATAGTAGTATATATGCAGGACGCTCGATTAACAGATGCCAAGTGCCAACATAGTCGCTCTAAAACTCTGGGTGCCAAACCGTGTATTGACGAAAATTGTACCCTATATGGCGCCGCCCAAAAGAAACTTTAGTTTTGTTTTTCGTAGAAATATTCTCGGGAGTATTCTCATCTACTCCCTAAAGTTTTATGGCACTTGGATGAACCGCAACCGAGTTTTATTTTTTATATACCGTGTATAGAGAAAAAAAAATTGCTCCCCCCGGGGGCGCCGCCCTTGCAATATTAAACAATATATTTTTGCAGAACCCTACCATTGAGTGATCTAATCATCTCCCCAAAGTTTCATGGTACACGGATGAACGGTGTGAAACCGAAATTTTATAAACCGTATCTAGAAAAAAATCGTACCCTCCCGTAGCGCCGCCCTTGCGAAATTAAAAATGATTTTTGTACAGAACCCTTCCCTAGAGTGTTCTAATCAACTCCTTAAAGTCTCATGGCTATCGGGTGAACGCTGTCAAACCAAAGTCGACTTTTATTTTTATATACCGTATATCGAAAAAAACAAATCGCCCCCTGCCGGTGCGCCACCCCTGCGAATTTTACATATTTGTTTCGCAGAAACCTCCCCAGGAATATTCTCCACAACTTCCCAAAGTTTCACGGCGACGTGATAAAAGGTGTGGTAATGCATAACGGACACACACACAGACACACACAGACACACACACACATACATTGCTTTATATATATATATATATATATATATATATATATATATATATATATATATATATATATATATATTAAATATATATATATATATATATAATTTGCATTTTGGACAAGCTACGCTGTTACTAAGAGACATATAGTTGAGCTGTGTTGTCCGTAACACAACCGTTAATTAACTAATACCTTGACTCTGTCCATTGATTTATATAAATTATACATACAGCACCGCCTGGTGTTGCACAAGCTTAATAAAAGTAAAAAAAACATTAGGAAGGTATACGGAATAAGGAAATATATTGTGTGTGGGGATGGGATCTGGGTTTGATTAGGGCTTTAAAAAGGTTTAGTTCAGTCTGTTGGGTTAGGGTTTAGTAGAGAAATAAATGTTACGTTAAATTAAACAAACCTACCCCAGCTTGATTTCATTTTGTCTTTTCTTTTATAAAAAACAAAGCACTGTAGCTTACATGGTTTCACACATCAAACATCTCTCATGACGGTTAAAAAGATGATTGACGTTAACATGTACATCTGTCCGCCACAGAGCTCAATAAAGACAAATAACTCAGCAGAACTGACCGCAGCAAAATGTTTAAAAAACATTGAAGTAGCATGGATCTGTCTACATTAGTATAGAATACCCATGGATCTAGTGGAGTCTAGTTGCAAACATGCATCTTGATGGTCTGTTTTATTTAAATATCGGATGCAAAATATTATTAATATTCATTTCTCACTTGCATACGTCAATTTTAATTATAAATGAATACTATACCAAACACAATAATATTTAACGACGCCATGTCTAATGTTCCAATGACGTCACACCGCCACGTCTTTATCCCCGTGTTCAGGTAAAAGAGCTGATTATTGCTGACACTAAAGTCGCGAGTTCAGTCCCTTTGCCAGATTAGCCACGTTAGCTGGGGACATCTAGCGGAGATAACTCATAACAGCTGCTGTCTTGAACTTTATTTTTGGATGGACACAGGCTATGGAAGAAAATGCAGAAATAAAAGAAGGATGAATGCAGTTATAGCGTGAAATAGAGCGCATAGCACCTATTTAGTAATAATAATCAATATAAGTAAGCTGAATTCACGAAGCCATTTTCTCATGTAATCAAACTCTATCAATAACCAAAACTGTTGACAACTTTACACGACACCTAGTAACACACACAATCTGTTGAAGACATCATGACTCTGCTCTAGAAGGAAACAACACATATAAATCTAGACCAAGCACTGATTACACAGTTATTATCTAAATCACTGAAACAGGAGAAAGGTGTATTTGTTTACACAAGAACACAATTTTATAATCTAACAATACTGAACCCACTCCCAGCTTGAAGCATGGCTTCACGCAATTATCTAAAACACTAAAACAGGAGAAATATTTATTTGTTTACATAAGAACACTAAGTCACAATCTAACAATACTGAACCCACTGTCCTGCATCTGATTCATGCACCTTAAAGTTAAGTGTTTCTCTTTTCTTCATGGCAACAACAGTTGAGCCACAAGCAGAGGTTAAAGCAAACTTTACACTAATTTGCTTTTGCAATTCGTTATCTCCCTTTAAAACACTAACTGTAATTTGTTTATCTTCACGCTCCTGTAAAGTTACAATAACAAGATAGTCACCATCATCTGGTGCTACAAGTTTTCCTGTTGTCTGATTAAATTGTTTGCCGATAGGTTCCCACACAAGTTGAAAAGTAGAAAGAATTGATCCAGCAGTTACCGATGTGTTGTGATCTAGGTAGATGTCACAAATGTAAGGCTTACAAACACGGGCCCCTGTTGATAGTAGATATTAGTGATTTCATCTTTAATCATGTGTGAGTCCACGTATGTATCAGTGTGGCTTGTCGTTGTTGTGTGGTCAAGGTGTGGGGGAGAATAGGCGGCTTGTGTGTGTGTGATAAATGGTCATTTTTAAAACATTTTTAAAAACTACATTTATTGATACCTCTGCATGTAGCCTAAAGTATACGTGACACTAAACAGACGACGTTAGTTATAATAAAATAATGTAAACCAATAAATGTACTGTCGGTTGGGAACTGGTGGATGTGATATTTTGTTTTACAACACGCCCAGTACAAGAGAACCACAGAGAAAAGGATATGATCGGGCTCCCAGTGTTCCCCAGCCACTATCTCAGTCCCAGGGATCTGTTGAGTGGCGTCCTGCACAGAGGGTCAGGATACTACCTGATGCCCTTAATAACTTACTTTAAGGTAACTTTCGCACACGTCGGGAGTAGCTGCTACTTAGTCCTGCACCAAATTGATGCAAGACCGGATGACGTTGTAATTTGACATTACATTTTAATATTCATTTAGCTTTTGGAGAAAAAACATTATTTAGAGATAAGTAAAATATCTTAGCAATTTGCTTTAAAAAAACAAACATATATACTAAATCATTTTACAATGCATACATCAGAGTATAAATTACCAATGATTTTAGTTATTGTTTGATAAACATTTATTTTATTGGAACATTTTTAAATAGAATAAACATGTATGTTTGTTTTCTTGTTGTTGCTTTTTAAGAGGTATTAAATTAAGAAGTATATTGAAATAGCAAATTCATACATTTAAGGACCTGCATATCAACATTTGAAACAACATGTGATGAGAAAATCAGGTTTTTAATATCCTAACTTGTATTAAGTCACTTTAAATACACAATTGTTTTTACAGTTTGCCTGTGAAATTTTACAGATCGTTAATGCAACTATTTACTCTACCCTGACGAAATTGTTTATATAAATTAGTGAACGGCTGATGTTCTAACTATAGTAGGGTACAGGCACCTACACATACACGAGCAGCTAGTACATAGGCCTACTCGCCATGTACTGATCATACCTTCACACAGTAGATATAGATGATAAAGTCATTTTATGTTTAAAATGGTTGATAACGCTAATAAAATGTGTCAAATGCTTATCGAGAAGATAAATGACAGGAAATTAAGCCAAAGAACGGGTCAGTACAAAGTACACATACAACTCAGACATAACTACATGAAAGAGGTAACTTGTGTTATTGACGTGATACATTGTTTATTGAAGCAGAGCGACAGTTTGCTACTACTGGAACTAGAGTGTCTAAAACAAAGGCTATATAACTGAACACTTTGTTTTATTCTTTTGTCAAAAGTGAGTTTATATTTTAAAATAGTCACGTTTATGTAAAATCCATGCTTTACACAGCAGCATAATTTCCATCAACTTCATTTTTACAAGCCTAACAGGTTAGACAACTGACCAATCACAAGACTACAAACTTGAGTTAATGCCCTTTAAATGCTCTGAAATTCATTCCTGTTAAGTAATGTTTATATAAAAAAATCAAGTCTTTGATTATTCGATGTCGAGAAAAGATTCGTTATTTTAAAACGTCATTATAAATGCGTTATAGTATGTGAATTTCTGTTTAATTCAGATGCGTCCTAGAGTGCAAGTCAAATATGTTACAGAGCACATGAACTATTTAGAAGAAAAGATACACGTCATTAAACCTGTGGTTGAAGCTTTGCAAGCTGTAAGTGGTTATTGTCTCTACCTGCATTCATCATTGACTTTGTGCTTTTTATATTGAGCATGTTGTAGATAAAGATAGAGTATAGTATTTAAAAACTAAAAACATTAAAGAAAACAATTTTTTCAAATAACATACTGACACACATTTAAACGCTAAGACATAATGTTTTATGTCAGCAGGCTGTAGACAAAAGTAAGACTTGGTTAGAAGATAAAAGTGACAACGAATCTTTGACATACTGTGATCTATGTCAAGAACTTGAATCAGCTACCTTGGCCTTGTTGAATGTAGCGGCTCATATCTTAGGTAAATATTTTAAAATATGTCTCTTTTATTTTAATTGATAATCTGTTAAATCTCAATAATTTAATACAAATAATACAGTAAAAACTGGACAATTAAATATGTTTTGTATTTATTTAAAATTAATATATACTAGCCGTCCCGGCCAGGCCCTGCTCTGGCTTCTGTGAAAAACCTTTCTGTTAAAGACCATTACCTGTGTGTTTAGTAATCATCATAAACCCGGCATTGCCCACCCAAACCACAACCAACCAAAACAACAAAACGCAAACATAACGCTAACACAATTACAATTACAAATACAACGAAAACAAAAACCTAACAACAAACCCAACCACAACCACAAACACCAATACAAACACAAAGAAAAAACAAACAAAAAAGAAAACGAAAACAAAAACCTATCAACAAACCCAACCACAAACACCAATACCAACAACAACAAAAAAACAACGAAAAGCAAACGAAAACAAACCAAATCCAAACGCAAAACCAACCAAAAACACAAATACAAACCCAAACAAAAAAACACAAACAAAAACGAAAAAAGAAAGAACAAAAACGAACCAAATCAAAACGCAACCACTAACGCAAACCCACCTAAACACAAAGAAAACACTAACGCGAACATAAACGCCCGGGGCGGAATCACCTGTTTTAGCTTAATGAACGACTTTAGTACCCCAACTTATTCATAGTCTTTTGCACTCACTTAAACGAACGCGCCTGTTTCAATTTGATGAACAATTATAATACTCCAAGCTTATCCGTAAAATACCTACAACATTTGCACTTGATCAATCCCCGCTAATTATGTAATTTTTTTTTCCCAACACCAAAACAAAGTAATTAAAAAGTAAATTATTTTCCACAAAATGCAATGGTTTTATAAAGGGAAGTAATTGTGTTTTCCTAATTTATCAAAGGGAAGTAAGTGCTATAGGACTAAATAAAGACATAATTAGAATTTTTGTAAAAGATTATATTTTTTTTAAACTTGTGTTTAATGAACATGCCGACAATTATTACTATAATTTGAAAAATGAAAATTATTTCCCAACACTTTCAATAGTAATTTTTTAGCTCATAAATTTAGACAAATGCGCACGATAATTTTCTAACACTTAAATTCATCCAAGACCAACGACAAATATATTCATTACATACAGAACTGAGCTTTATATATTAGATTCATATTATCAAATAACATTAATCATTTATATCAATTCTAAAGAAAGTATTTTACATACAAAAATTAACACACAAACTTACATTAATAAATATTCAATATTATGTAAAACTACAACTGAATTATTATTACACATATTTAAATTAATTTATGTTCTCTGAAAATTACAAGACGAAAATAAAGACAATGTAGAAGATGGAAGGTCATTTTCATCTCAGTCTAACTCACAAACAACAACAGAAAAATGTGGCCGTAGACAGTCAACAGATCAAGTCCTTAACGAGCCTTATAAACCATCAGGTATCTATGCACACATATTTTTACAAAAAAAAAAATTAAGTTAAAAAAATATTTTCAAGGTGAATGATTCAAATATATTTTCTTAATATGTGATGTTCGTTAGCCAGACAGACCATAACGTGATGTTAGTCAGACAGACCATAACGTGATGTTAGTTAGCCAGACAGACCATAACGTGATGTTCGTTAGCCAGACAGACCATAACGTGATGTTCGTTAGCCAGACAGACCATAACGTGATGTTCGTTAGATAGACAGATCATAACGTGATGTTAGTCAGACAGACCATAACGTGATGTTAGTCAGACAGACCATAACGTGATGTTCGTTAGCCAGACCATAACGTGATGTTCGTTAGATAGACAGATCATAACGTGATGTTAGTCAGACAGACCATAACGTGATGTTCGTTAGCCAGACAGACCATAACGTGATGTTCGTTAGATAGACAGATCATAACGTGATGTTAGTCAGACAGACCATAACGTGATGTTCGTTAGTCAGACAGACCATAACGTGATGTTCGTTAGCCAGACAGACCATAACGTGATGTTTGTTAGCCAGACAGATCATAAAGCGATGTTCGTTAGTCAGACAGACCATAACGTGATGTTCGTTCGTGATGGTCACATTTTATTCTTTCATTAATTGACTTTAACCTGAAATGAAAAATACTAAAGGTAGACTATGCAGATCTTGTTATCGGTCATTATTAAGTACAACAGAACAATTTTAGCTCTAGTAATTCTTGTTTCAATAGATAATCCATATACAATTAAACTGCCCGAATGGTCAATTGCCGAATGCGACAAATGCCCGAATTGATACTTGCCCGAATGGGACAAATGCCTGAACGGACACTTGCCCGAATGGGACGAATGCCTGAACGGACACTTGCTCGAATGGGACAAATGCCTGAACGGACACTTGCCCGAATGGGACGAATGCCTGAACGGACACTTGCCCGAATGGGACGAATGCCTGAACGGACACTTGCACGAATGGGACGAATGCCTGAACGGACACTTGCCCGAAGACCTTTTGCCCTGTAACATTACAGAACACCAAATAGTCATTCTTAATCAACTTAAATGTGAAATTTTAATAATTAAATAAATGTCTTACCAAATTGAAAGGGAACAAAATACTGTTTAATATCTTCAAGCATGCATTATGAATTAATTAGTATTTCCTATATTATAGAAAGTGTAGGGCCTACATCTTTTGCTATCTATAAAACAAGACGAAAACATAATTTTCACTTATCTGATGTTTTTAAAATGATTCTCACTTTCTGTATTAAGTAATAGATTCAACACATTATCTAAACAAGCTGCATTAAATGAAGATCAAATATAATTGACTACCTTTAGTTTTTAAATTCGCTGCCTAAGGCTCGCTTCATTCAATTGTGAAATAGTCATCACACAAGTTAAGCATAACAAAATAAATCAAACAAACGCGTCTCTGTTCAACGTAACGAGACGCCGCGCCGACTACACCGTGTCATAAACGCTATCAAACCACCGCAACACGTCGGCTAAACAAGGTTTTCAAAACTTACATCAAGAGAGTATAAAAACACCGCAGCCAACATAGCATTACATTATTAAAGAACAACGTTTTTTACAGCAATATCTCAATTTTCAAACATTAAATGTTAAATCTTAAAAGTATACACATTTTCAAAAATATAAACACATTTGTTTTTATGCCAAGAATTGTGTTATCCTAAAGGCAAACTTGAATTGATTAAGAATGTCTATTTGGTATTTAAGAAATGTTCATTTGGGAAAGTGTCCATTCGGAAATCGGCCTAGGGGCAAACGGCATTCGCGCAAGTGTATTTCGGGAATTTGTCGTACACCCGGTTTTAGCATAACGTATTAAACATTTGTTGTACGTTTTGTGACGTTTTAATTGACCTGCTAAACTGGTAAGGTCAATACGTGGGAAACGATAAACTAACACCACACAAACTAAGGACCGTACTAAACTAGTGATCTAGTGTTTCAATTTATGGTCTTGGACAAAGTTATGTAAACATTATAGATTCTTATATACAGTTTATGTTTTACAAAACACATATAATGAGATGATAACATAAACTAATGAAACGACAATTTACAAATATTATGGATCAAATAGTCAGAACATTTGTAAAATTAAACATATGTTTTCTAATCAACAGAGTCATGTGTAGGTCACAGATATGCTTGTCATGTGGCGCTTGATCTCGCACCCGTCAGTGTTGGATTAATTATTTCAAGATTCTGGGATGTACGTGAATATAACGGTCAACATTTTAATCAAACAACAGGAACATTTGTATCACCCCATGATGGTTTATATCTTGTCTGTGTCAGTCTAAATGAAAGGGAAGATAAACAGATTGGAGTTGGTGTGATGGCTGGAGGCAGGTGCTGTACGGCTATAGAAGTGAAATGTGCCGCCACTAGCGCTGCTGGGTCAGTGGTTGTTGACATGAAGAAAGGTCAAGAACTGTACTTTAAAGTGATTCAATCAGATCAAGGCGCAAAGTTATCCTGCTACAGTAGTTTTACTATCGTTAGTTTATAGAAGTACAACACAAAACATGGTTGATGGTAAATTCTCAAAACAGTAAAACTTGTAACCAAGCACACGCTAACAACTTACTACATGTACATAAACATTTAATGGTTTGTATGTTGTTTTTTTTAGTCATCATTATACAGTTCTAACTTTTTCAATGTGATCACCAATTAATATATTGTACGTGACCACAATAAACATATCTTTCTTCTTCTTCTTCGTTCTTAATTTTTAGTGTTGGGAGGAATCGCGCCTTATCTGCCAGAGGGTTTGAACTCGAGACTTTTTTCGAATTTATCAACCATGAGCTTTTCCGACTCGACCATGCTTCCATCACAATTAAGGATTACGTGTAAATGGGTTATGCGCCATTGAGGCCATTGACTCCGATTTCAGCCTGCTTTTCTTTTTGGGTTTGTTTCCATAGCCTTTGTCCAAACAAGAACAAACTACAAGGCAGCAGTTGTTTGATTTTGGTCCCCCAATAAACATATGAGATACATCAGTTTTTAAAATCTTTTGTTTCTATGTATATGTGTATCATTGCATCTGTTAAAAACAAAAGCTAGTTTTTGTGTGTAAACTATGAAATTGAAATCCGCATTTTTGGACAAACAAAATGAACTATTAAAAAATTGGAATAAGTTCACTTGGTAACTTAAATATGTGTGAGATATATTTTAAAAAATTAATTCATGATATGAATTTGTAAATATTTTGAAAGATACTGACAATAACTTTTGTTTTGTTTCAAGGTAAAATATAAATATATTACAGTTATACTCGAAACAAAAACCGCTCTTGTGATTCTAGTCAGTAATAGTGTATATGAATTAACACCTACGCAAACACACGCACACATAAATAGACTATACATAAGTCTGACAATATATAGACCATATTATATCTATCTATCTATATATATGTATACATACATACATATATATATATATATATATATATATATATATATATATATATATATATATATATATATATATATATATATATATATAATGCATGTTTGACATGCTACCCTGTTACTAAGAGACATATAGCTAAGCTGTGTTGATCCCAACACAACCGTTAATCAACTAATATCTAGACTCTGTCCATTTATTTATCTAAATTATACATACAGCACCGCCTATGTTACACAAGCATAATAAAAGTAAGAAACATTAGGCAAGCAGAAAGTTACTTAGCGTGTAATATAAACATCAGATTAAAAAATAATAAGCCTTTTAAAAAGTTAAAACAACTTAAAATATAAAGACATACAGTAAATACGGAGATATATTGTGTGTGGAGAGGGGGGTCTGGGTTTAATTAGGGATTTTAAAAACAAAATGCTTAGTTTATTTAGTTCGGTTAAGGTTTAGTGAAGAAATGTTTTTTTTTACGTAACTTAAACAAGGCTAATCGAGTTTAATTTCTTTTTTTAAATGAGAAATAAACCACTATAGCTTACATGTTTTCGCACATCAAACACAACTCTCAAGACCGTTAAGAAGATGATTCGCGTTAAAATGTACATCTGTTCGCCACTGTTTTAAAACATAAAACAAAATCTTATTCTATATTCCAATATAGTCGATCCATAAATAGCCGTTGCTACTAGTCTGTTTTCGTCTTCTGTTCTTTGTCTAGTCGTGTTGATTAAGTTAAGTGTGATTGCTTTATTTGTTGTGGCTGTTTGATTGGTGGTTTTTTTATATTATCGCAAGTGTTTGGTTTGCTTTCTGTACTAGTATACAATCTTAATACAAAACAAGTCTACATCTATATAATTACTATCAGTGAAGTAGCATGGGCCTGTCTACTTTAGTGTAGGCTACCCATGGGTCTAGTTGAGGTGGAGGGGCAGCGGGTGGGGTCGTCCGCTGCCGACAGGAGGGAAGCACAAAAAGCGGTAAAAGTCAATTTTAATAAGCTGAAGTTTTGAATTGTAAACGGTTAAAGTTAAGAAATTAAATGGATACATGTTTTTATTTAACTGCTTTCTGCATTGCTTGGGTAAATGTGAAGTACACTCTTAAGAACCAGAGACCTGGAAAGATCGTTTACCATCATTTTGGGAGGGGGGGGGGTGTGCAATTCTGTCGGCTTAAATCGGAATGATTTATCCTGGACTGGTAGATGACTGTTATAACATTTAGAAAAGAAACAAAGCGTATTGTGTAACGATAAAATAAGAAAAAAAATTGGTAGGGGTGCGTCGCTTCTTTGCCAAGATAAATGGGGATGATTTATATCGGAATGGTAAGTAGATAAATCATTATAAATCTTAGAATTTTATGTTTTATTGCTGATGTCGCAAACGTAACCAAAAATAGCTTCTTCAATTATTCTAATATGTGAAATAAACTGTTAATACACATAAAATAGTGAATAATAAAACTATTAGCACATTTGTAGCTTAAATTAACTATTCATTTAGTAATAATAATCATTATAAGTGGGCTGAATTCATGAAGACACAATTTTTGTCCATGTGCTTGAGTCAACGGAGTGTGACGTCATGAAAAAGTTAGAAAACTAAAGTATAAAACTATTTACGCGAAAGCTGACAATATTTCTGCTTGCGGATCAACTGTAGTTCCGATGAAGAAAGGTCAAGAACTATATTTTAAAGTTCAACAATCATGACCAGGGTCTTTTCTGCAAAAAGGAAGCAGTTTCACTATTTTAAGAATTTAGCTGAAAGTAATATAGTGTATTTCTAAACCAAAAATTTAAAATCAAAATATTATCTCAGTTGAATATTATCATAAGTGTTAATTCTCGCTATGAGCTTATAATTATATTTATACACTGAAGAGGTAACGGCGTGGCTATGCAGTAGAGTAAAAGGCTGCTAACTCGAAAGTCTCAAGATAGAATCTGGATCCAGCAAGTTCAGCGTCCACGAGTCCGCTTAGGTCTAATGTCCACCTAACTCAATAACTAAAACTTCTGTTCATATGCCGAGGTCAAGAAATACAAGTACTCTTCATCGTCTGCCTAATGGATCGCTAGGATTATTTACTTTATACACTGAAGATATCATGACTGTTTTATAACTCTATCTAGCATTACTTTTACTTTATATAATATTAAGACTGTATATTTGTAGTATTATTAAGTCCTTAATAAGAAAATAATGAAAAATGGATGCAGTAAAACTAATTTGACAATCATAGATATTACTCTATACTTGATACATATAAATGTATTTTGCAAGTTTAACATTTCTGTTTGTATTGCAAATATATTTTGTATTATTCACGGTGAGTCTAATAAAAGTTAGCTCAAATTATAAATTGGTTAATATCTATTGCTGTTCCATGTGTTGTAGAAAAACCTAATTAAAGTGGTATCGCTTTAAGCAATAGTTTGTGTACGAAACCTATCTTCACTATAGACAGATAATATGCAAACATCTCAAAACCATATCGAAATATAATGTCAAGTTCTTTTCTCCCAAATATGTGCCGAGCACTACACTAACTAACACATAAGTTCAAGAAGGTGGGTGGATTTCTTGGTTGTGGAAACTTGAAATGATTAGTGTGAAGAGAACACTTAGCATTTTCTTATCAATGGTTCGTCATTAACATGGGGGCCACTGAGATTTTAAAATGGCCGACATCCGAGGTTTATATTTTACCCATTTTATTTGCTTGTTATTTACTCTACGCTGACTTTGTGTATTGCAGATAAATGTATCACTGACATACAACCAATGTAGCCTATAAACAGTCTATCAGCAGTCATGTACTGTTTGATTTGATCATAACTTAACTAGAACAGATATAAGTGATAAAACAATTCAATGATTGCATGATAACACGATATGATGCTACATGTTGTATTAAACAAAGATAAATGGTTTGAAATTAAGCTAAAGAACGGATCAGTACAAAGTACACATAAAACAGGCATCACTAAGTGGTAGCTGCAACTTGTGTTCACGACTTCACACTTTGTTTTTTTTTCTTTTAAGTGGAGTCACATTTATTATATTGGAACTAGATTGAATAAATGTAAGTGCCAAACAGCTTAGAACTTAGGATTATTCAGTCAAATGTAAGTTTACATTTAGCAAACCTAAAGTTAGTGTTAGATTAACTTTATACATCTGACTTATCACAGACTAGATAGTTGAGCTAATGCACTTTAATGATACAATTATACCGATATCTCGTATTTAATTATTTAAAAATAATTTCAAGAAAAAGTGAACAAAACAAAAGCGGTGAACAAAGACCCTACATGGACAAATCACCTGTGGTTAACGGCGGACACAGCGTTTGTGATCATACACCCGTTGATCAAACACCCTCTACTGAGAAAACACTAGTGGTCAAACCCCCTATGGCCAAAGACCCTATGGTCAAAGCTCCGCTGTGGTGAAAAACCCTATGGTCAAAGCCCCTCTGGTCAAAGCCCCTATGGTCAAAGCACCTGCGAAGCATAGCTACTTTATATTGTCTTAAAATTAATTAATGTTAGAACACTCAAACACAAACTCTTTGAATGTTTAATTGGATGTATTTTAAAATGCAACCGAAAAAGAAATCAAACCATTTGTTAAAAAAAATTAAGTGTAGATGATAATTCAGCGTGTTCAAATATTTTTCTAAAATAATACTGCAATAATCAGTAAAACATGCTTATTGAAACGATATGCACATGCACACAATATATGCACATTGGATAATAATAAACCGGGAGTGATCTCCCCTAAACTTTCTCGAATATTCTTATATAAAATAACAGGGGATGGGAACTCGGGCTATAGACATGATTTTTAATCCATTTTAAATACTTAAAGTTTTAAAAATATAATTAAAATCTCGTAGACAAATTAATTGCACACCAAGTGAACGCCAAATAAAAAAGCGCATAATAGTGCGCAATATTATTATTACTTTTAAAATTTACATTAGTTTTTTGAGAAATCGAAAGTAGCGTAAAGTACTACTTTCAGTCAATAGAATTGACTCAAAATTTGACAGAAGGTAGAGAATTAGATCTTTTACTTACATATGAAATTTCATTTATCTATCTGAAATAGTACTCAAGTTATAGGCTTTTGAAAAATTCAAAGTAGGAAAAGTACCACTTCCGGTTATCGGAAATCGCTCAAAAGTTGATACGGATCTACGATTTTGATTAAATACTTATATATGAAATTTCATCAACCTAGCTGTAACGGTACTCAAGTTATCGTGTTTACACACGGACAGACAGACAGACACACAGACAGACACACAGACAGACACACAGACATACGGACAAGATTGCAAAATTATGTTTTTCCGTATCAGTGAGGTGTGAAACGTCGAGATTTGTAAAAATCTCGATTTTTTTTTTTGCACGATTACAAGACTTTCTCTATACTTCGTATATACGAGAAAGTAAAAACAATCGAAAATGTTGTAACGTGGAATATATGATAAACTACTTATTTCATAAGCATGATTAAATTTACAATCTAAGTATAGTAAAGCCACTTCCTCCTTGTAGCTTGGCTCCATCATCAGCATAGTCAACTTTAAAGTAAAGTTCATGACCTTTCTTCATTTTAATAACAGTTGATCCAGCGGCAGATGTGTTGGCTGAGTTAACATGAAAGCTCTTACAAAATGCGTCATCCCTGTACACAAATATTTTAATCAGTTTATCCTTACATTCCTGCAGCGTTACAATCACAAGATAGTCACCATCATCTGGTGCTACAAGTTTTCCTGTGGTTTTATTAATATGGCTGCCGTTAGGTTCCCCCACG